CTTTTCATTAAAAGGTATAAAAGATAGTAAAAATATTTAAACGGATAACCTACATTATACAAATATTTATCTTTAATTTTTGAACCTGCACAGGCAGACTTTTAGATTGCTATATTCACGAAAAGAAAATATTTCTGTATTGAATGTTCACGTGATAAGAGCAGACCGGTGTACTCGATGTAAGAAATAAGTATATTTTTGGAAGTTGTAATATGCTAAGGACTATGTAGAGCACTCCGAAAATTGGTGACCTGAAAAATCTTTGGATTTTGTATGAACATGACTTTTTTTTTCATTTTTTTTTATCAATATGCAGCATATTGACATTTTTTAAATTTCAGTTTCACAAGCTTCTAATACAGTATCCTGATAAATGATGAACATGAGACATCGTGTATTTGCATGTATATTTCAAATAACACAGTTTAACAAATAATTTTTTTTTTAAAATGTACGATTGTTGTCTAGAAAAAAACTTTTGATCAGTATCATCACCATCAATGTTTTATTATTGATTTTCTCGACTTTTTCATAAGAAGAGATAACTTGTGACTGTTCTCGGTCACTTGAATTTGTTTTTCACTATATATAGCAGTTATAAATAAAGGGATTTCTCAAACAAAATTAATTAAAATTTTTCCAAAATTCTTTTATAGTTTAAATGTATCTGAACACACTTATTATCAACTGAATATTGTATTCTAATTGTTTATAGGGCCTGTCAATTCAGAACAATCTATGTAGTAATGAACGCTTACCGACCCAAATGCTGTCAATACATGATATTTGGCTTGCAAAATGTCATGCTATTCTCAGTTTGTTTAGGTAGTCTTTACACTAAATAAGTTGGATGTGAACGAATTGATATTTTAGTCTTCAAAACATGCTTAAGTCATTAGCTAAAAATGGCTTTGAATTGGCTTTCAATAACTGCATGTAGTCTTAAATAAGTCCTTAGAGTCTTTTGTCTTTTTGTCATTTATTTTTTTGTGCTTCTTGTTGATCTGTTCATTTAAACAATTTCCAACTGATTTTTACAGTAAATTTCTAAAATCATGATGTTACTCTTCTGTCTAATGTTCGAGGGATATCATACATGTGCCTCGTCTGCAAATTCTTTAAGGGACTGTCCAATTCATTGACCTGCAAGTCAGCTGTTATCGTTGTTTGCTTTTGCTGTCTGTCATATTTATTAATCGTTTTTGTTTTAATATCGATCTGGCTCTTGGTTTTCTCTTTTGCATTATGTCACATTTTGTCATACCGGGACATTTTATACCTGGCTATAAGGTATTGGTATGCTCATGGTTGACTCAAAGACTTCAAAAAGTACCGTTTTGTTATATTCAAAAACATTTATAAGCATCATTTAAAGAAACTATTTTGCCAAATAATGTGACTGATTTTGTTACATTAACTTCATGGTAAGGCACGACGTGATATGAAAGTAAATTGTCAAATTGAAGATTGTTATGTTAATTATTTTATTCTAACTTTGTTCAAAGTATTTCATCGAGGTAGGTAGTGATTCGTTTTTGGACGAATAATTATAATCAAACATGTCAATTGTCGACATATCAATTTTGCAGTTCTCTCCGAAGTGGACCAATTTAAAAATTTCTTTTCTGACCCCATAAAGAATATTGCAAACTCACACATTATCGTATATGACGTCTGAAACAATCAGAACGTTAAAACAGTGACTTTTCAATAATGTAACACCATTTTTCAATTAGTCTTATGGTGAGTTAACAGTAAAAAGAAGAAAGTGAAAAATATGAAGCTTGTCCAATTAAAAAGTATTCGTCTCTTGTTTTTTTATCGTTCGTGGTGCTCAATGCTTTGATTTCTGTGTAGTGTTTTGTTATTGCTGTTTGTTTTGTCGTCCTGATAATTTTTGCTATAGTAGTGCGTGTGTTTTTTTTTTATTGTACTTAGGATGTGTGATTGGTATCGTCTCTCTATTTCACTGAGATAATTTTAGTTAATTTTAATTTTCATAAAAGACAGAAAATAAAAGAAAAAACAAGAACAAGATTAGTGTAAAATACCATTTATGCTGTTTTATTGCTGTAGGTAGAATGATAATATAATGAGAATATAAGTTCCGATATAGTCTTGTGTTTTTTTTTTTAAAATTGTGGTTCATTTGTATATTTCGGAGTTAAGTGACGACCATTTCGTTGAACTAGTATACAGTATTGATAAGTGGCCACCTGAAGCCCGCCTCCGGGTGCGGGGTTTGCTCGCTACACTGAAGACACATTGGTGGCCTTGGGCTGTTTTCTGCTCTTTAGTCGGGTTGTTGTCTCTTTGACATATTTCCCGTTTCAATTCTCTATTCTATTAACTTACCCGCTGTTTCAACTTTAAATAAAATAAAGGCGAAAGATACCAAAAGGACAGTCAAACTCACAAGTCAAGAATGAACTGTCAACGCCATGGCAAAATAAAAGAGAGAAAAAGAACATAAGACAAACAACAGTATATAAAACACAACATAGAAAACTAAAGACTGAGCAACAGCAACACAAACCTCGACAAAAACCGGAGATGATCTCTAGTGCTCCGCAAGGGTAGGTAAATCCTGCTCCACATTGTGAAGTAGCTCTTGTATGAATCAGCCTCATATAAATAGGTAAGTTGTATCTTTATTGGATAGAAATACAAAAGTATTACATTGCTAAAAAATATAAAGTAATATATTTGAATAAAATCGAGAATGGAAATGGGGAATGTGTCAAAAAGACAACAACCCGAACATAGAGCAGACAACAGCCGAAGGCCACCATTGGGTCTTCAATGCAGCGAGAAACTTTCGCACCCGGAGGCGTCCTTCAGCTGGCCCCTTAACCATATTAATGAAAATTAGGAGATATGGTATGATTGCGACATATCTATCCATCAGAGTCCAAAAGACAGGGATTTAAACATCTTTAAAGCTTTTTAAACTACAATTCTACCAATTATTGTGATAACCATGTTTTCAATGTAAATTTATGCAAGGGGTGGTACAATGACCATGTATTTAAAAACTTTAACATTCAAATGCAAATGCATTATTGTATACAACACGAAAAATGTATCAAATGTTGTTTTCTAACTATTTAAAATAAGTTAAAGGATGGATTATGGTAAGAGCCATTATTAGACTCCAGAATGGCCAAGAATTGATTGTTTGCTTTATTAATACTTGCTTTATGTCAATTGGCAAATGTTTTGTGCATGTTCAGGACGAGAATAAATACATAAGAAGCAAAAGTGATTTATCGATGTTATGCATGTTCAGGACGAGAATAAATAGATAAGAAGCAAAAGTGATTTATCGATGTTCAAATCTTGTTTATCGATTTAAAATATACAAATTCAAATAAGAAAAACTAAATAATCAGAATCGAATGAATTCTAAACAAAGCGATATTGGTTTCGTCGACAGTGGAGCGTCTCCTGTTATACATACGTTACCCGCGATGCCATCCAGTCAAATGACAGAATAGACAATTTTACACACTTTGGTCAATTTACAGATCAGACCACTTTTCTAGTATATAAAGTTCTTAGACTGCAAAACTGCTTCACTTGGTAATTAAGATAATGACGCATCGTATCGGCCAACCGATTCGTATTTGTGACCATAAATCTGTAGCGGCTATTGCAGTCGATCTTTCTTTTATTCTTGATGGGCAGGTTTTTATGTCAGTAGTATTCTCCTGTTACTGAAGTCAGTATAATCTAAACACGCACGTTCGTTCCATATCAATTCAAGTGTAGACGCAATATAATATGTCAGAGACGATGTTACTGCTGAGGAATTGAAAGATGACAATACGAAAGCTGAAATCGTTATAATGCAAGGACCAACAACAGATTTGAAAAGTATAGGTACTGATATCTGACATATAAGTTTGATTCACATGTCAAGGATGATAATTTATAGATTTAGTTTTTTACCATTTAAAACCAAATTCATTTCAACACATGTATATTTTCTTACCCTATTTCTTGCAGTGTCAGGATCTGAAAAATAATTTACACACACGAACCAAAACGAACTATTAAACCTGAGAAGATAGAAATAGAAAACTTTCTTTTGAATACACATTTGATTACCATGTACCTAATGTTTTTTCAAAGAACAAAATGACTAAAAAGCGAACTTCTGCAATCGCAACATTTGCAACGGTATCAAAAGAAGTTTGAGTTTAAAATTATACAGTACTGAAAGTCATACATGTTATTTACAATACGCAACAACTTAATAATAGACCTTAAGAATAGACAATTAAAAAGGCTAATTAAACTTCATCTCGAGAGAAAATATGCTCAAACAAAAACAACACAATGCAAAACATAAGGGACTTCCCCTAATACTGAATAAAACCATACATCGGAACACCACATATTACTAATAAGTAACAATCGTCTACAAAAAAGAAGGATAACATCGGATAAAACAATAATGCTACTATAAAATAGTAAATAAATACTTGATTACATTAATTTGTATTATTGTGGTTAACCTTTTTATAGACATCTTCTATCACAAATGTTAATAATTGTAAAATGTCTGTTTTATAACGGATTATAATGAAATGTTTGGTCAATGATTATGGTATATATAGGACACAATTAATAAATCAGCACTCTGAGAAAGCCATCATACCACGGTAAGTTGTAGCATTCATTTGCGTATCTTAAATCACTATAAACGCATATTTGGTATGCTTTATATCATTGATATGGCTACGGTAAAAGTTACATTGAAATTAAAAAAAAAAAAGGAAAAGAAAACAACGTTTAAAATCGAAAGAATGACGTTTGAATTAGCAACATGTTCATCTTTCCCCTTTTTAATGCTTTCAGTATTTTGTAGTTTTGTATATGTATGTTGCTTTTTTAGAGTATTGTTTTGCCTAAATTTTTGGAGTTCTTGAAAGACAATACAGTATAAGACAATGGTTAAGTTTATTGATTAGTTAAAGATTATACTTGTAGAACCAACCAACCATGACACTTAAAGCTTTTCTGTGTTTGTTGCTCGTCGGACTAGTAGCAGCAGAGGCTGGTAAAAAAGGATACAGTCCGAAGTATAACCTGAAAACATATGGGAATCCGTTAGGACCCTTTTTTGGTGGTAACGGATATCAAGGAAATAGCGGTTCTAGATATCCGTTGAATTTCATATCTGGATATGGACACGGTGGCTATGCAAATAACTTTTATGGTTTAGGTTCACCGTTACACTATGGCAGTCATGTCGGGTACAACAGCTATGGTACCCAAGGTGGATTTCCTGGATACGGGTTCATGAACGGAGGGGGTTTGAATGTATTAAGTGGTTATGGAAATTACGCTGTTCATGGTAATGGAGTTATGCCATTTAAGGGATATGGATTCGGTCGAAGACTTGGTGGATACGGAGGGTTTACCAACTTAATTGGTTCTGGAGCATATGGTATTGATGGTATAAATGGTTATAGATCATATGGTATCGGTGGCATCAATGGTTATGGATCATATGGTATTGGTGGTCTAAATGGTTATGGATCACATGGTATTGGTGGTATAGGTGGTTTTAGAAACGGAAGATACGGGTACAATGGTGTTGGTGGTTTCGGTAAATTTGGAGGTAAGCTATCTGAAATCATTAAATGGAAAAATTACTTCATATTTAAATGTGACAGTTTGAAAAAATTAAATAAATTGATCACTAACAAAAGATAGTTTCCGGCATGGAATTTTTTTTTTTGCACAGAAATTTCTCTTAAATATCTGCCACCTGTTTGAGGGGGCAAATAGTCACATCATGGGGGTTGGGTGTCAAATAATCAGAACATCAACTGTACAATAAAACACCTAGCATTGAAAAGACGTAACAATAATTAACAGAGCACATCTACAAAGTATATTAAATTTTAAATTCTTCGTTTTCAAAAATATTGAATTGATTGATATAGATTTTGGGTGAGGCTTTGACTTATATTTATTATCATATGTTTTTAGTAACAAACCGTATGCAAATAGTATTCTTTGTTCAATATCAAATTTATGATATTACAAATTACATCACAATGATATTAAAAAAAGAAATGGTTTAAAGTGATCAGCTATATAAATACTAAATGAACATGATATAAAAAGGATTGGATTTTTGTGTGTTTCTCTTATGCAATTATATAGGTCTTATTATAGCTGTTATGATATCTGCTTGTTTTAATTTGTTTTTCTTAAAATAAGGGAAATGTTAAAAAAAATAACAAATAAGAAGTAAGAATTGAGATTTAAAAAAAAACTGCAGAATGAACATAAAGATACGAATGTACAGAAGAATGAGAAAAGATATGTATGCACATCAAGTACTTTCTAAACAATATGAGATCAAATCACAACCGTAAATTAATGAATAAAATGATGAAACAAATTGTATAATTAAACTTTGTTTTTTTTTTTTGCAGGAAAAAAAGGAACATATTAGAATTCCATGAGTCATTGAGGAGTAGTTGATGGTTTTATACACATTTGTTATATGTATTCTAATGATTTATACTAATTAAACTAAATATCAAATAATACCGTTGTTTTGTCTTATTTACCTTTTGATATTATTAGCAATTTAGTTGTAACATAATACAAAGAGACCATGGAAAATCTTAGGCAAAATAAAAACAGTCGAAACTACAAGAAAAAATTGAAAATATAAACTATAGCTTTCAAAAGCATCCAAGGTAAACAAAAGATCCAGGAGCCAATTTATAAATACAATATTAACTTATGTGATCAGGAAATTTAAGCAATTACGGCTTGGCGAGTGAAGACAATTGTGCTGCAAATAACAATTTCAAATCTAATTAGGTATTATAATATGAATGGGAGCTCTGAGATATTGTATAATCTGTGAGAAATATAAACTGCAGCTTATTCTGGAATAGTGCTACAAAATTATGAAAAACTCACAATAGGAAACATTAAAAGATAGGCGAAAGATAGCAAAGAGACATTTAAACTCATAAGTTGAAAATAAACTGACAACGTCATTGCAATAAACGAAAAAGACCAAAAGACAAACAACAGTATACAAAATACAACATAGAAAACTAAAGACTGAGGAACACGAACACCACCAAAAATTGGGGATGATCCGGAAAGGTAAGCAGATTCTGCTCTACATGTGGCAACCGTCGTGTTGCTCATATAAGTACAAACCCGGTGATAAGTCTGCCTCGGTAGGTCACATTCAGTGAAAAGAGGACGGAATTGTGGTATCAACAATTGTAACAGTCCGTCGTCATCTGTGAAACATATATTCCATAACGGTCAACCATCGTGATGGCGTCTGTAAAATTTTCAAAGGGATGATTTCAACTTTTCCACTTGGAACGTTTTTGTTTAAAAGCTTCATTGTGAGCAGCAACATTGTATCAATGAAATTATGATAGGAATTGCAAGCCCTGAAATATTGTATCAACTTAGAGATAGATACTTCATATGCAGGTGCTGCTGGAATGTTGCTAAATAGAAATGGAGAGTTCAAAATTGGTAAGCTGAAATCATCTCTTTTGTCGTAAAGTTTGTTCTCAACCGACCCTTATTGTAAATTTGGTTTATTAAGTCCAGATGTAAGGCACTCTTAACTGTATCTGTTGTAACCTTTATTTCCAGTTCGATCGATTGGATAGATGCGCTCAACATAGTCACCATTCGTTGAATTATGTAGTGAGAGGACATCATCTATATGATGGAAAATGAAGTCAAAGGATAATGCTAGCTTCTTTTCATTCTTCCTAAGAAGCTCCTGTATGAAGTCAGCCTAATATGAATAATAGAATAAGTCAGCAAGAAAAGGAGCACAGTTAGTTCTTATGGGAATGTTTGTTGAAAAACACGTCCCCATAACGTAACAAATATGTTGTCAATCAAGAAATTAAGCATCTTGATAATGTCAGTTTCAGAGAATGTTTTGTTGAAATCAGAGTGACTTTTTACAAATTACGATGTATTCCTCCCTACGATAAGATACTTGTATATACGTTGTCCATTCTTTTTTATGAAACAAAGCAGGACCAATTCTTTCAATTTTTCTTTTAGTTTTAAATGGGGAATACTTTTGTAAAGGGTAGAAAAGTCAAATGTATAATACTGTTACAAGAAGCAGTCATCCTTTTTAGTTAGAATTATATCCTCTACTGACCCTCAATGTCGATATCTATGTATAAGTCCAAAATATATGTAGGACTCACATCCATGGCGGGTTCCAGATCTATGGCAGATTCCAAATATACGGAAAATATGACGTCATGCCGTCTCAAATCTATGGCAGATTTTGTTTATTCCAAATCTATTTCGAATGGTCTAGTTATCTAATCTATGGAGGATTTTTCTAGTTTCCAAATCTATGCAGATTTTCTGCAAATAGAGGACTTGTCAGTACGTACATATCTGACCCATGACTTGCCTTTAACAAGTGTCGTTCTCAAGAAATTATACTTTCTCCACAGTACAGGTATTTGACATTAATATAGCTGAAATGATGCAGATAGTTATTACAAATCTATGACAGCATTCATCTGAAGTATCCAAATATCAAGAAAAGTTATTAGCTTCAATATTACAGATAACGTGAGGGTACCCAAACTGCACCTATGTTGACAGTTTTTCCCCCTACATTTATTTAAAAAACAGACAAAAGTTTCTTTTTTGTGTTTATTTTGTAGAAGTTTTACAAATTTAATTTTGAATCCATACTGAATCATAGAAATATGGATTTGAATCGACTTCCAAAATATCAAAGATTCTGTAATGAGGGATACCTTAACTGCACCCATGCTTTGTTTCACTTTTTTCCATTTGAAAAAAAAAAACAAATGGATGTCTGTGACATATGATAATACTTTTCATTTTCAAAAGTAGACTTTTTTAGACGTCAAATGCAACGTTTCTGTAAATAGTGCTTTTTTTACTGGAGATTTAATTAGTTGATATATAATGTGACCGTTTTGTGTATGTTAAAGTATAATTAGCTATGTTGATAGACGTGCCAAATAGCAAATTATAAAAATACGAATTATTAAGTCTAAGAAAACTTATAAGAAACGGGATATAATATTCTTATTTTTATGGCGAAACTATTTATAGGGCTTATCAATTGGTTAGATACATCTATGTAAACTTATTGACTCTGAATACACTTTCTTTTGGCAAAACCTTTTGGAATTTTGAGTCCTCAGTGCCCCTCAACTTCCTGTTTTATTTTGCCTTTTAAACTTTTTTGATTTTTTTCTTGTACAGGTTATCAATTTAGTACTGTAATGAGATTTGTTTTAAATTGTCTTTATCATTACTATCATAAAAACATTTATTTTAGGTTGATAAATAAATAAATAACTGAATATGTGTTGCTATACAGGAATGAACATTAACAGTCCAACATCATCTCGATACGTATTTATAAGCATTGCACAATGTCATGCTGTTCACAGTCTGTTGATGAAGTCTTTACACTAAATACGTTGGATGTGAAAGGATTGATATTTTGGTATGGGCAAACACGATACAGTTATAAGCTGAAATTGGCTGTGAAATTGTTTTCAAGGACTACGAGTACTCTCATATCAATATTTCGTGTCTTTTGATTTTTTATCAGTTTTTTTTAGCAATTCGTGTCGATTTGTCCTGTCAAACATTTTCCAACTGATTTTTACAGTTTTTTTTTATATCGTAATGTTATATTTCTGTTCATTGTTTGGGAAATTATGAGCGATCACATACATCCTCACCATATTCTTCACAAGCCTTACCCAGGTCAGTGGCCTGTAGTTCAGTTGTTGTCGTTGGTAGCTGTCTGTCATATTTGTTATTCGTTATTTGTTTTAGCATTAATAAGGCGGTTAGGTCTCTCTTTTGAATTGTTTCATATTTTGTCAACCCTTTCACAGCTGACTATACGGTACGGGGTTTGCTCATTAAAACCCTTCAAAGCAGTTTTGTTATTCCTTTTCTAAGACATTATAAAAATAATTTAAAAGTATATCCATTCTGTGAAATAATATGACTGATCTGTTTTAATTAAGGTCATGGTACCGTACTGATTGCCGTTCGTTCTCTTTATAGTGTGTTTGTTAACTACCGTTCGTTGCAAATTATTGTACTGTTAGTTGTTCGATATGACTATACTAAGCCGATCAATATATTAGAAATATGTATGCAACTACTGCGTGACAACTTTTCAAAGCTTATTTAAGTAAGTTAGAAAACGTTAAAAAGCGAATTTTCCATTAAAATACACTGCATTCATGGATTGTTAATTCAATGGTATTTTCGAATCCATGACTTCCTAATAACGAACTCGTCGGAAATCCTTTAATATGCACTATACGAACTTTAGAACGATATGAAACATATCATCATGCTTGGCCTCAAGATTTTTAGGGTTATTTTTGCAAAACTCTACTGAAACTGGATTGCAATCAGGTAATCTTGATGAGCGGAATCATCTTGCGTTTCAGAACGAACAAATTCCAAAAAAGAAATTGTAAGGCTGTTATGCTTCTTGTATATTCATATATAATTAACATGTACGGGTAGTTTGGATTTCAAATATTATTGATATTTCAGTCATCAAATGAATAGTACCAGTTAGCGAATGTCCAATTATCACGTAAATCCATAATAGAAATTCATGACATCTTCAAAAATCCTACATCAGAAATAATGCTTTAATACCACATGTTAGAACTTTTATCGCTTCGGACGCCTGAAATTTATAACGTGTTGTTTTAATTTTTTTCAAGCACTGGGTCGATACCTCTGCTGGTTGACTATCAGTTTCCGAGGGTATCATCAGCTCAGTAGTCAGTACTTCGGTACTGACATGATTTATAACAAACCTTTCTTAAATTGTCCGTTTTTATAAATTTTTAATGTATAAAGAAAGTAAGGATTCAAAGGTGGTTATATAGCTCTTCAACTGTTTCGGTTCTTATAAATCCTTGGCTTTCAAATATTCAGTTTTGAGCGTTCCTCATGAAGGTAAATCAAGAAAAGCGCTTCGGACGCATGAAATTCAGAACATTTTATTTTCACTTTTTTATCCTGTTAGTGTACATTGTTAAGTCATATTCTATTGCAATTACGATAAAATAATTTCATTCAAATCAATTATATGTATTGTAAAAATGTAAACAAAAACATCCTTTATTATTCAATAGTAATAACCCCGTCTGACAGTAAAAATGAACTATGGGATCAACATGTTTGTTGCCTTGGTTTTGGGTGATTTATACATGCAGACGATAAATTCGTTAGAGAATAATGGTAATGGAAGATAATTTTCATTATGTTGAACTTACATTTGATTAGATACGAAACGCTGCATATTTATAGACATCATTGCTGGAAAATATGAGTCCATATGGTTAGTTAAGGTTTTTGTCGTAGTTCAGTATTTCTGTTGTTCCGTTGTTTTCCTCTTATAGTTGATGTGTTTCCCTCGGTTTTAGTTTGTTACCCGGATTTG